CCCGTCTGCCGGTCCCTGCGTGGCCTGCCCAGCCTGGCTCCCTGACCGTGGCCGGCCCAGGCCTCTGGCGTGCCAGCCTGCGGTGCCTGGCGCTTCGTGTGGTGGCAGGCTCTGGCAGCAGGGACTTGGAATGGGAGAGCTGGGTGTGGCAGCGCCCTTCTCCTCTCTGCGGCCTGGTCTCGGGTGCGGACAGCAGTTCCTGGGCAGGAGTGACAAGCGGTATTGTCTGCTAGGGAGCAACCCGTAGCTGAACAGAGGCTGTTGCTGCGCGTTGACAGCCCCGTCCTTCCCGCCTGTGCTGCGTGGGGTGGGTACTGTGCATGAGAGTGTCCGGACACGGTTATAATCAACAGAGTAATGCAGGCTGGTCATCTTGTGCAGGGTTCAGGGAATAGGTGGTGCCCTGAGGCGGTGGAGACATGGGGAGAGCATGTCAGCTGGGGTGTCTGCTGTAATCCTGCTCACATTTACCAATGAAATATTCTTATCAAATATTTTTTGTGACGTGAGGAAATTTGGAAAACCTAAATCTCATTTCAATGTCAATTCACACTGTTATATTTTGTTGTTGTTCTTTACTGAAAAAGTTATGAGAAAGCAAATCTGTAATAACAAGTACATTTTGTATGAGCATTCCCCCTTCTCTTGCTATAGCAGTGAAAATATTTGTTTCCACATAAATTATTAACAAGTCTCTTCCCGGGTGATATTAATGAGCTTAATTTCTCTTCCAAAGGGCCCTAAAGGAGACCCAGGATTCTCTCCAGGACGGGCAAAACTTGGAGAAAAGGTAATATTTTCTTAATTATAGAAAAATGTTTTGCCTGTCTCATACTTTTGTTGAAGTCTTGTTTAATCTTCAGACAGGTTATAACAGCACGATGTTTCGTATTTACTGTGCTGGTGGTGTATTTTCACACTTCATTGTGTGAGACTGACCAGTGCAGACACAGGTGATGTAATGAATTAAAGACAGATAAGAAATTACATTCAAACCTGAAACTTAAATTATATATTTGATTTCACTTATAAAAATAAAATTTTAAAAATTTAAAAGGCAAATACTTTAAGAACAATGAAATTGAGTTCTCTTCACACAAATATAACAAAGTACAGATTCCAGTTTTCTTTAGTACTTTGCATTAGTACAGAAAGTTGTGTAAGACAAAATCTGGTGAGAAGTGCACATATCATTGCGTGTCATGTTGTATTTAACCACTTTTTTTAAAAGGGTCTTGATGTTAAGATTTGTCCTTTCATTTCAGAGGCTTTTCCTGCTAGTTTCTCCTATGCCACTTTAGCCAAACTAGTGGTTGCTCTTTCTGCCCAGAATATTTGAATATAAATATCTAAAATGGTTCTTCATAGAAGTTGTGGGCTTGAAAGCTTGTGATTATTTCATTTTTATATTACACATCTACTGACTACTTATGAAACTTTAGAATCAATGTGATAATGCTAAAAATGTAATTGCATATTTGCATTCTAATGTGTTAGCCTACACTAAAGCTTTTAGAATATCTTGTATTTATGATGAGTTTTATGAAGAGCATTTGCTAGTAGTTCCATTGTGAAACATTTGTGTACGAAGTAGATAACACTGTAGGGGTCCAGGACCACTCCCATAATGAAGCAAGCATTAGCAGATAACTATTGTTTTCTAGCGGCTGATGTGTACATAAAATAACTTTTTTTTAATGCATACATTTTGTTAAACCTTATAATTTACAAATGTATATTTTCAGTGTTAAAGGGTTGCTGAGCAAAATTCAGAAACGTATCTGTTGATGCACTGATAAGAAATTGAATTGAATTTTTGTAGAAATAGCACCATTATTTTAAGGTAACTAGCTTTTGGTTTTGGCAATCTAATCATATTGTTGTGAGCTATATGCGTCCACCTGAAACTCAATGTATGTTCTTTGCTATGAGCCCAAGCTGCCACAGAACAGTCTAAAGCCCACTCTTGTATATGTGTGACCTATACTTAAGTACATGTAGGATCCAAAAAAACGGGACCGATACACACTTTTCTAGTTCTCACTATTTTGGATTATTAATTTTTCACCCAAGTCAAATTTGCGTACCCTAGGTAATGGACTTGAATTTACTTTGATGCTAACTCACTTCCAGGATCCAATCCTTGACTCATTGCATTTGAATTTGGACACTAATCCTGAAAGAGAGAGTCTTTTCACTGTCAGTCCTGAGCAAGCAAAAAAGAACTAGAGCAACCTTCCCTCCACCCCCAGCTGCAGCAACTATAAGAAAATGCATCTTTTTCCAGCTTCCTAGCATTTGAGATGCACTAACTCTCATTCACATTGACCATGATGTAGTTGCAGGGTTTAAAGAAATTGAATGAGAATAGCCATATGCCAACATAACACCTTTGTCTATATACGTCCTTCATGTTATCTTTTACACAGATTAGATTGATGCCATCTTTTATATAGCATGTACCATAATGGTGTCCTGATTCCTGGTTGAGGATTGTTGGCATAACAGTAACATAAACAATAAAAATAGTTAAAAATATATATTAATTTGAGGTTGAAACCACTCACTTCTGAGGGAAGCGTTACCTCAAGAATTGTATAGCTTCTTCACTCCCGTTTATGTTGGCTAAAAGTAAATGTTGTGAGGTTGTGAACTTAGTCTCTTCCAGCCATGATTTGGCCAAGTTGTATGATGCAGAAGCATGTACATTGCACCAGGTGGTTACGATTGAGGAACTGTTGCCTTTTTGACATTAGCTACTTCTTCATACCAAACATCTTGAATACAGAAAAAATATGAAGTCCTACATGTCAAGTAGTGCTGTCATGTTCCACTGAAACATAGTGATTCTGGATTTTTTTGTTGTACAGGGTGATCCAGGCCCCATAGGCTTTCCAGGCCCACCTGGGATCAAAGGCCAGAAGGTAAGATTCTGTTCCCATTCTCACGTGACTCTCCCTGGTTCAAATCCATGGCCATCAGGCGTATGTCTGGTGGTCAAGAGGCAAAGGAAGGGCTTTAGGCCTGCTGTTGGTACTGTGACTGTCTACTGCATCAGGCTCCAGGACCAACAGCGCAACACCTTCCCTTGCAACTAAATTGTGAGATCACGGCAACAGAATGTAAATCACAGCTGCTTAGGTTGATTTCGTTCAAAAGGCATGGCGTGCCGCTGCTCGAACAGATAGATACTAGGGAAGTTAGGCTTGCCTGTGAGACACAGCCGTTTTTAAATCAATTGTATTCAGTTTTCAGTAGTGTTTTTTTAATTTCTTTTTCTATATTGTGTATTTTGTAGAATAGAAAAAGCTCCATTGGATCATGTGCTCAGTATTTCTGCACTGAATGTATTTTTTTTCCCCAAACATATGCCAGAATTGCTAAAATAGAACTCAAGTGGAGTAAGTTCCAATTGTGGATGCTACATAACACGGTATTTTTTAGTATGAGAAATGTCAGGTGCCACACACTGTATTTAAGAAATATATCCAAATTATAGCAGTCCTATGTACACAGGAAAGCTTAAAGCAGACAGGTAGTTTGGAGAAGGGAACATGAAGGATATCAATAGAGGAAATGAGACAATGTTAAGAAAACGAGCACAGAAGATGGAGTGAGTACAGTTTATATGGAAGGAGAGGTCACCTGACATAAGCCCAGTAGGCTACTCGAATTAGTCAGATTGTGACAAACTAGAGAGGTGGCAAAAATCAGCCAGAAAGCAACAGCGAATGTCCTATTAAATACTGTCTTTGCAGAAGGTAGTTTGGTGTTACAAATGTAATAGAAAAACTTGGAGAACAGATACCACAGCAGAATTTTTGAGTAGTATGTAACACTAAAGGCAGCTGCAAAGTGTCTGTCAAAAGGACGGAAAGAATTGTTACAAAGGTAGGCCCTGGTATTTTTGGCCGTAATTTTTTACATGTAGAGAAGGAATGTTAAATAAATGCTTGCCTGCTATTGAAATTAAAGAAAAATGGCATTGCAACAAAATTTATATGCAATGTTATGTTTTAAGGTGGCTTCATTCAACATTGTCTTGATCTTAAAGTGTATGACAATTTTTTTTTTTTTTAAAGTCTAGTCATTCATTTCTAGAATTGACCAAAACATAGTAAAAATCAGCACCAGGAATGTGGAAACTTATTTCAACAACCATGTGGCTCACAGTTCTATGAACTGAGAAAATATGGAGCTGTGACAAGAATTTGCATCCCCTCTGAGAGGTACCCTACAAGCCTGGACACTGATAGCTTTTGTCACCGCTGATCTTGGGCCACCTTGAGATTCCCCAAGCATTGTGCTTTCTTATTTCATCAGGTTTATAGTTTTGCCCCAAAACCAAAGTACTTTGTTTTGAAGCTTTTTAGATGGGAAGCAACTGTCACTTGTTCTGGATTACGAGACTGACAATTGGGGTCAAGGAAATTAAAATCTTAGGGCCATCATGCTCTTCTCCTGCCACAAGAATTCACTCCTTATCTGAGGGTTAGAGACTGTGTGGAAAATCATGCTCACTTGATCACTGGAAATTTTACTCTCTGTTTTCATGTTGTATACATCAGACACTAACTAGAACTATGATAATTTCTGCCTGACCCAGACTTTAAGAATATCAGCTTTTGAATAGCACTACATCTGTAAACAGTTAAAAGTATTTCACACTTAATTTTTTTAGTGACAAGCCCACAATTTATTGTGTTTCAAATAAAGGATCTTTAGTTATTGCTTTTCAGTATACGTATATATGTAAACGTACAGTTAGCTCGTTGTGATCTTGGAAATTATTTTCAAAGGAATGTGAGCACAACTAACTGTGAAGTAACACAGCTACAAGAAAAAATGGCAGAGAAATCAAGTACTTCCATTTTTGTTTTGCACCCCAGTACTACTGGGGAATTGCTGTTATGTTGAATAAATAACATATTTCCGATATTCTTTCTCAGCCAGCTAAAAAGGAAGATAAAATCCTACATGAGTTAATGGTGTCCTAAATTCTATTTGATTTTGACAGCTTGTGTTAACTGAGTAGTTTCTAGAGAGTGAGATATTTGATAGCAAATAAAATCTCTAATGTTCTTCTAGATATTTTTAATAGTGTGATACAAATCTATGTTCATTTCATGGCAATTACTTTTTGTCATATTGACTTTGTCAGTGTTTTCCTGAAAGGCCTAGAAATTTGACGTTTTTTCTTGGTGGAACTCAGCATTCCTTTCCCATTAACTGGAGTGGTGGCTTTGGAGAGCAGAAGTGGAGGGTGCACTGCCACACCTGCTGCCCTCCGTTGGGCATGATCACCCCATGCCAGGGTGGCGGTGGCTGCAGACAAAACTGCCTCTAACAAGTTTTCTAATCAGAATTTGCCTGGTTCTGAACTTCCTGGGCAATCTTACTTGGTACTTATACAAAGACATGTGTTGAGGAAGTTTTGAGGCAAGTGTGTGGGTTATTTTCACTTTTTTTTTACAAGAATGACCTTGAGAAGCTATATTCCATGTGCTTTTTGTTCTATTATTCTCAAAATCTGAGATCGTGTTAGGAGAGTTTCCTGGAAAGCTTCTCCCTCCCCCCAACAGAAAAAAAAAAAAAAGATTTTGAAGCCCTCAGTGCAGTAGAACAGTACTAGTAAACTACTGTTTTGGATTAGAGCTGTAAAATGATGTGTTTCTTTTTATAAAGCTGAGAATCTACAGGTTTTTTTAGTGAGATAGTAAAACAAATGTATGGTAATAATCAGGACTGTGGGAACAGATTATTGTGACTGACTTTATTTTTCTTTACATGCCATGCGTCGGAGCATACGTCCTTGTGGTTGCATATAAAATATGACATATTTTTCATGCCTGTAACACACACTATAAAAAGCCAAGTTTTGCTCAGTGTAGGGCTCCAAATTTGTTCTAGCTTAAGAACAGAAAATTGCATGTTTATGAAGTGTGTAGAGGCCTGTTTCTTTCAGGCATCTTTTGAAGCAGAGAAGCAATGGCAGGATTGAGGGTTAGTCTGAGGAGAGTGCTGTTTCCAGAGCAGTTGTACAATCTCATATCTGGAGCTGTCTTGACAGGGCCATCTTTAAATCAGCACTCAAAACTTTCCCTATATCAGTCCAGAGACCCTGTCTGGACTGATATAGGGAAAGTTTTGAGTGCTGATTGGAAAAGACTTTTTAAAGATTGGCTACAATTTTTGGGCTAGCTTTATTCCCAATCTGCTATGTGTGTAACTATAAATCACAGGAACCTGGATCTATAAAATCCTGATAAAATTCACATACTAAAGTATAATATGGTAAGACATGTTGAAGGAGAATACTTCCTTGTAGCCTGAGAAGGGCTCTGTATTTCCTCGTCTTTACTTTTGCATCCTGTAAAGAGTAAGGCAGATAGATAAATTTCAAAGTGGTATCTGTGGTGATGTCAACATTATGCTACCAAGTGTCTCCCTGTCATGGATTAAAGCAGGGCGTCAATAAACTGAGTGGCAGATGCTCTCTGTTAACCCCCACCCTCCCACCAGAGGAAGGGAAAAGGAGGAAAAGGGAGAGACACTTACAAATTGAATATAAAAAGTTTTACTAATAATACTAATAATTTTAATAATAAGAGAAATTAAAAAAAATATACAAAACTGGTACCGAGTTTCTGGGAGTTGGGTGCTGGGTGCTGGCATCCCGCCAGCTGCTGCTGGGCAGCACCAGGTAGTCCCAGACTGGACTCAAGGATGCATGGATTGGAATCTGGATCAGGATCACAGGTAGAACAATGAGCAGGGTCCTCTTCAGAAGGCAGCCATGAACAAAGAGAGCGAGACCCTCATGATCCCCCAGCTTTAAACTGAGTATGATGTGCATGGCATGGAATACCTCGTTGGTCAATATTGGGTCACCTGTCCTGTCCGCCCCTCCCTGCAAGTACGAACCCTTCCAACTCATCACCTGGAGGACCTAAGAGATCTGTCGGTGACCTTGGCTGCTAGAGTGATAATTATAAACAGGGGCCTTTTTCTGAATTCCTTTCCTACCGTTAGCTCAGTGTAACTATAAAGATTAGGTATTATCAGCTTTGGAGCACACAATGTCTGTAAAATATGCAGCCAGCTTCAGAAAAATGCAGTTACTTGGAAGAACTTAGCTGTAAGGAAGATTCACTAAAAGAGAATCGGTTCTGTTTTAACCAAAACCAGGACACTCCCACTGCTTCTCCTAGAGAGTGCAATTTTCCTTGAGCAGAAAGAAACTTCAACACTTTGAGAGAAATTCCTCTGCTGAATTAGATGGACAGAAGGTCCATCTTCTACATGTATGCTTTTTTTAAAAAAAAAAATTGATATTTCCATTCCTATACTCAGGCTGAGAGATACTAGATGAAATCTTAGTTGTGTCAGCAAACAAGATAGAATAGAACTATTAAAAAAAAAAAAAAAAAAAAAAAAAAAAAAACAAAAAAAAAAAAAAAAAAAAAGAAAATCACCAAAACCAAACCATTTGCCAATAAAGTTTTTCAAAACTGGATGCTGTGTGGTGACAACATGGAGCTGGTAGGTAGGCATTGCAAAGGCCCATGTGACAGCACATGGAAATACTTTATATGCTAGACTTACACCATGCCCAGAAAATCTTATTTCTGACACTTTTCAAAGACTAATACTTCTCTGTAGCTGATGGTTGTAGCATTGGGTATAACACTTCACCTACTGATTTTTAGAGGTTACAGAAACTCCTTGGCTCTCTAGCAAAGTTGCCAGTGTTGTGCCAGGTGTATTTTAATAATAAATGCATAGAAATTCTAATAAAACACAATGGGCACCAGTAAGATGGAAAGACTTGGCTTGAACAGTCCTTGCTGTTGTGATTTAACATCTACATTTTGTTGTATAGAGACTTCACTCTGTCTGGGTCCCGCTGTGCTAGGCATTTGGTAGAAGCCAGACACTTAAACTTGTTATGAAGTCTTTTCTGAGCCATATTAGTTGGCGGTAAAGACTTTTCTGTCACGCAGACCAAAGTGTTCTTGCAACTTGCTGTGTTTTTGTAATGTGCTTGAAGTCTGTATTGCTGTAGTTGGAAGCTTCAAACCTTCCTTGTCCACATCGCGCTTTTAAATCAGACAATTGATCTTCATTAGAAATCTTCATTTTGCAAACCAATGCATGTGAAATTGTATTTTTCTTGTTTACTTTAATCTTAGCTCAGAGCAAACTGGGTCTTACTTATATGGGTGTGCTCAAGAGTACAAACCCAAACTAATAAACTAAGAATTTTAAGAGGATTAGCTAACTTACAGGAAAGGAAGCCCCTACGTGAAAACTCTCTCTTTGAAATGATATTCATTTTAGCATGGTTTAGCTTCATTCCCAACCAGTGTTAAGTGAGTTAGAATGAATTAAGGCCATGTTATTCTGAATAAGAATATGGGCACACTACTGTAAAATATGAGTTCAGAGCAGTTTTCCTCTGGCAGAAGTAAGATACTTGTGTAGAAACATGCACACAAGTAATTAGTCTTTCTTCTTCATCTTACAGTTCCTTGTATGGCTTCTTTTGAGATTGTCCACGCAGGTGTTAATCAGCTAAACTGACCCATTGTGAAACTATATTGTGATAAACTTCTCTTCGAGTGTTTCTGTGTATAGCAGCATTTGCTTTCCTTTTCTCCTTGTAGAGAATTAATAAGCTACTGAGAGATCTCTTCTAGCAACACCTGCTTTAGTTGATCGTTTAAGCATACAGAGAGGATAAAATTCTGAAATGCATAAAACTCATGAAATGGAGTGGGCTGGTACTGTAAAATACTATGACTTTGAGGCACATATTGAAAGCTTAAGATGAGTTACATTGGTTTTAGGCAGGCATTAATGTAGTAAATTGGGATATTTCATACTACCTGGCTATCTGTGTTACAGTGCAGACCTGCTTCATTAGATACAAGATAACAGATATGTATTATTAAGACTTCAGCTGCAGGGGAGGATTGAAGACAGAATATAGAATATATATTATATGTTATAATATATATAATATATATATTTTGCAAACTGGCTCTGCCCTGTGTGTGATTAGCAAAATGAAAGGACACACCTGCTGTGTTGGGTTTTGAGAAAATGAGGCATTTGGGTTTCTTAATGAGAACATCTCTTTTGGATCAAGATTCCTCAAGCAAGCCTGTAGTAGCAAAATTGCAAATCTTAAAGCTTTACAGATGTCACTTTCATCTGTTATCTAAAATTATCACCAAGCAAAATAATTCCGTCTTTTAATTTTGTATATGATAATAAAATTAATTTCATGCACAAATACTGTTGTGGTCACGCAGAAGCTTATCTGAAACTTTGGGATACCTGATCTGCTGAAGTCAGTTGCAGAATTCTTTCTTATTACAGTGGGTCTCAGATCTCTACTGACTAATGAGTATCAACATGCTGCAAGGCAGCCAGACATTTGACATCAGCAAAGACACTCCCACTACTCAGTCAATGTCTTTGAGGCCATTTTTATGATAGATTTCTATCCAGAATAAGGATTGTTTTGGTCTTTCAAGCTGCAGATTTTGGAACTTGCATATTCCTAGTACCTCTTGCAAGGGATGTGGAGACCAGACACTTGGCTTCTGCATCAATCATGCAACTGTTACAGCCTCCCTTTTAAGCCACCTTGTCTGGCTATGTTTATTACAGTGTGAAGACATCCAAGAAAAAGGTTTCCATTTCAAGTGCACTGATTCTGATGGCAGGTTCCAGCTCTATTTTTAATTCTTTTTTTTCTTTAAGAGCTAAAATATTCATGAAATGGTCAGTGCACAAGGAGTAAAGTTTGATGGCTTCGTGATTCCAGCACCACAGGGAAGATTTCTGGGATGAGGAACAGGCTATTCTCCCTACCGATATAAATTCTATAATATAAGGGCTGGAATTTGTTCTATGTTAATTTTAAAAAGAGATGTCGTATTCAGGATGGTCTGTCTTTCTTGGGACTGTCCTAGAATAGTCTGGGATGACCCTCTACTTATACCCCTCCTCTGAACTGCTTTCTTCAGAAAGGGCGTCGTGACAAGGATTTGGAATGGGGAAATGACTGTACTGAATCCAGTTCTTCAGTTTCAGTGATAACTGAGGACAGCATCCCGTGTACTCATTTGTTTAAAAGAGTACAAGTTTGGAACTGTCTTTAAGCATGCTGATATCTTGAAATTATCTAAACTTCCACGAAGATTTCTTACTCCTATTCTCTAACTCCACTTTCATATGAGCTGCTAAATGTAGACAACACTAATACTGCAGGCAAACAAATTTGGATATTTTTTTCTTGGTAAATGGAGGTTGCAGTAGGAAAAAAAGGTCCATTTTGTGTGTTTAACTGTATTCATCACATATCTGTTTCTTTACCTGCAGGGTCTTAAGGGTTATCTGGGACTGCAAGGGCCACGGGGTGAGCAGGTGAGTGATGAAAGCACAGTAAGCTATAGTCTACAGATGAACAGTTGAGGATAGAAGAATGCATAATCTAAGTGTTCAGTATAAGCAAGCAGTGTAAATTACTGACTGCTTAAGGAAATACTTGATAGTTCTTGGTCAAGAATTCAGATTATTTAGAGATCAGTGTGGTAAAAAATGGTCTAAATGAAATGGAAAAGACCAGCTTGTTTTTCTTAAACTACCACACTGGCTTGGCGGAGGCTGGTGTAAAATTCTCGTTAGAGGCACAGTTCGGATTCTCGCAAAACGTCTACTGATTTAATGCATTTTAAATCTCCTAGCCTGGAGAAAATGAAGTGCTTTTTCTCACTTCCATGTCAGTTCAAGAAGCAATCTGAATGTAAATTTCAGCCCTCCAGTGGCTGATGCATCTTGTAAGCATTAACGAGGCTCCTAATGACAAAGTAGATGGAGGCATGCCTCTCTATTTGGATGATGCTGAAAGGGAAACAGTGATGATAACAGATGGTAGACACCCAAAGGGAGATGAAAACTCATGAACGTCATCCATGACTGCAGTGAGTTTTATATACAAATCTTGACGAGTGGAGGTTTTCATTATAGGCCCACAGGCATTTTTCTGTGATGATTATAATTTAGCAGTGAGATAAAAAGATAGCCAGTAGAAAAAAAAAGTCATTCTTAACATCAGGAGAAGAGTGTCTCAATCGTTGAAGAAGTTGCAGGTGAAAAGTAATCAGTTAGCTACCATGGAGGGGAAAAAGTGAAGCTTGCATTGAAAAGTATTTCTGCTCATTATTCATGTCATCAAGCACAGAAGTTCCTTCGAAGGCAAGTCATGTTCAAGAATGTGAAAAATGATGATGTGCAACTGTTTGATATGTCAGTGTTCTCATACTGCTGCTGTAAACATTTTCCTTCATTATTGTCACTTAGAAAATACTCTGATGTAACATTTAAGAGAACACTTTCGATGAAAGATTTTTATTTTGCTTGTAGTTCTTACTCTGGTATTTTCAGGCCTGGCTGGTGAAGGTGATGAGTTAGACCAGTGACTTGTCATCTGTAGCACTTACCTGTGTTTGTAGTTTTTAGAAGCTTGTACAGTGAGGACAGACAATTCTCTGAATTTGTGAATTGTGGAACTCCTTGAACATCTGGTAACAAAAGAAAAGTTTTAAAAGATAAGTTGTAAATGCAATGATTCTATTGCTTTTTTAGTTTTTTTTCATATATACCTATTTTGAAGTACAGATGAGCCAAAATAGGAGCCCATGGATCCTAGTTCCATGACAGAACATCTGTCAGAAAATGAATCACTATGGTTGAAAGCAGGTGACAAAATCATCTCAATGGCAGCTCATTTAAACAAAAAATACTGCAACCCGTTTTTTGCATCTGCACTGCTGAGTTCTGCTTTCTAAGACTGCTATTTCACCATAAATCAGCTGTGAACAGCTCAGAGAGGAAGGCCTGATCCATTGCTATGGGAACACTGACATATAACAGTGGGTGGAAAGGTCAGGCTGGTACGGTGTCCAATTTACAGACTTGGCTTGTTTAAAATAAAATTAACTCAACAGAGGTAGGTGGAGCTTGTTTAAAATAAAACTAACTCAATAGAGGTAGGGGCCTGTGCCATTTGGCACCATTTCAGAAAAGCACGTTTGTCTGAAAATAAACAGAATCAGAATCACAGAATCACAGAACGGTAGGGGTTGGAAGGGACCTCTGTGGGTCATCTAGTCCAACCCTCCTGCCGAAGCAGGGTCACCTACAGCAGGCTGCACAGGACCTTGTCCGGGCGGGTCTTGAATATCTCCAGAGAAGGAGACTCCACAACCTCCCTGGGCAAACAGTCATATGCTCGGATGTTAAGTAATGAAACAACAACAAAAATGAATTTTGGATTTGATTAGGAGGAAGAAGATGGAGAGAATTCTATACATTCATGAGTAATCCAGTGCTATATTGACCTGATTCTGGAAGAAACAAAAAAATTTGGCTTTGTGAGGACACAAGGATTCTACTTTAATGAAACATTTAACACATTTGGTCAAATACAGCTAAGACAAGTGCAGTCACTTCATTATAAGGACTTGTCTTCCATAGTTCTTCCCAATTACTTTTTATAAGTAACATCTATGTTTTTAGTGTGGAAATGAGGCGTGAGCTGTTGTATTTCACAAAGTCTTAGTCTGCTGTTCTTGTGATGCTTATTAAAGGATATGTAGCTGAAATTGGTGGAGTTACTTATATATGATGAGTAAATTGTAGGGTGTTGCTGTGTAGCTTGCTCAAAAAGCAAATTTTTCATGAGCTTAAGCTGTGTCGTATGAGTAGATGTTAAAAGAGAAATGAACAAATAACAAATAAACTCCAAACCATAAGACTAAACCTGTTTATTTCTTTCCTTTTTTTTTGTTTTCCCACCTCTTTTTTTCACTTAGGGAATTCCAGGAATGGCTGGCAATACTGGGGCAGTTGGTTACCCTGGCAGGCAGGTGCAGTAACTATGCTAACGTCTTTGCAGTTTTGGGGGTTTTCTTGTTTGTTCTTTTCAAAAGTACCATATCTAACTCTTTTGGAACTGCTAATAGTATAAATGTATTTCTTTACATCCTGTCATTTATCCTTGAAGGACACTTCTTTCACGGGCCTTTTAGGTAATGTGGAGTCTCATGGCTTTTAAACTTGGATGGGTTAGGTGCAGTAATGCTGTACATTTCTGGAATACATTAATGACATTACCAAAGTACTGAATGTCTAAACACTTTATGCTCCTTCGTAAACCTCTTGTGGTTCTATGTGTTTTGTCTTCTTCATATTTTGAGTCCAGAAGGAGTAGGAAACGACCTGTTGTAGTATAGTTCCTCCTGATTTTCACCAGTGTATTTACTTCTCTGCTGAAACTATTCAGCCCTATTTGAGAAAGAGAAGCAGGAGAGCCAGAAAGCAGCTTTGTATAAACACAAGCACTTATATAAATCTTGATTTTATTTTTTTATTTTACATAAAAGCTAACAGATACTTCAGTCCAGTAAGACAAATAAGACATAAAGTAGAAATATTCATTATTTTCCCCATATAAAGGTACATGAGCCAAGTTCAACAATTGATGCTGTGGTTTTGTGTCGTCTTAAAGGGTGAATTTGACCAATGCTTCGGTGTTTTATTTGGTTAGGTTTGTCATGGCTATATATTTTTAAATTCCATTACAATATTTTGTATAGTAAAGAATGATAACATGTTTGTGCTGAATCACGTAAAATGTTTAGAGCGTTTGGACTACATATGCTATTCTGACACTAGCTTGAAAATAATTGGAAATGTGTCCATATGTAAAAGCCTATGAAAAATTATATAAAATTATGTCACTGTAATGCCAGATCACTTGGTCTGGGAAAAAAATTTCCTCTCAGAAGAAATAATTTTAATGTAAAGCAAGTTTCAGTCATTGTCTAAATTTCAGCCGTGAATTAATAGGAGACCTTTCTGAGTGTGGTCCTAGAGGACTGCTTGATGACACCCCCTTCAATTCTAATAATTTTAAGAATATATTGTTAGTTTACAGTTAACAAATGCTGTTACAGTTCTTTTAAATAGCGCATATCTGGTTGTTTAATATGAAGTACAACTCGTGTCTCTTTTCAATAGGGCTTAGCTGGACCAGAAGGTAACCCAGGTCCTAAAGGTGTAAGAGTAAGTAAGCATTTCAAACATTTTGGCATGCATGTCTATTTTCACCCATACAGTACTGAAGAAAGGGGGTGAGGAATGTCATTCAGCTCTGCAGGTATTATGCCCGCTGAACCCCTCTGTCTTTACAGAACCTACAAATGAGAAAACATAGTGTTTCTTTCAAAATACATGTAAGGATTTATATTTTTTTTTTCTGTGGTGTGCAGCATAGAGCAGTCTTCCCTTGTTGCCCTTCCTCTCACTTGGAATGCGTGCAGGCAAGAGAGGGAAAGCAGTACTGAGTGTGGGTGTGTGAGAGCTGGGAGTGAAGAGGAGCGGACGTTTCCTGCCTGAAGCATTATTTCCATAATGGAAGCTGTAAAGGAGAGAGACATATCTGGCATTTGCGATCTGTAACAGCTACAGAAGTTGACAAAGGGAAACTGTCTTGTCGCACAAAAACCATTAAAGTGATCTTGAGTTTTTAGAATGGTTCAGTTGTAGTCATGGATATCCCAGGGACTGAAGGCTCTTAATGCTCTGCTGATTCTAGGTTTGCTTTTGATTATTATTGGAGGTAAAATAGGTTGGCTTTTTTCTGGTTTTGTTCATTTGTTTTGTATTTTGGTTTTTTTAATAAGCACATGTGCATGCCTACACATGCTTGTGTTTATGTATTTTTTCACAATGACTCTCACCATCAGGCAGTAGACACTGGTTTCCAGAAACTTGCCTGTTGTTAGTTGCACCTAGGATTTGAAGGAGACTTTTGTAAGTGTTTTCAGGCCATCAGCTCATGTTGTACAGGCTGCTGAGCAGTGTGATCTACTCTCAAATATCTATTAAAATAATCTTACTGTGTTGCTAGATTTGCTTTTTTCTTGGTTTTTTTTAACATGGTTACTAAAGGCCTTTACGTGCTGCAGCTTCTTAAACATATGTCTGATTTTGGGGAGTGAGGTTTTTTGAAGTCAGTTTTCATTACAGTGATGGGAGAAATTAGTTTGTCAGGGTCAAGAGCCAACAGATATTGCACCCTTAGCGATTGTATCTTTTGCATTTCTTCAGTTTATTTTTGACCAGATTGCTAATGCATTTTGTCTTGCTCTCCCCTCAACTAATAAGACATGAAGTGATCCCAGTCACTTCCTGAAGTTACTACTTCTCCGTTTACACAAAGCCAAAAATGGCCAATATATGAGTAATTTTGGGGAAAAAAAACCTGTCAGGTCTTAAAGCTAAATCCTGTGTATGAATTCTACAAGCAACTTCCAATAAAAACCATGACACAACCAAGTTGAGACATACTGCTGTGCCATGGAGGTGTATAGCAACATGTTATGAAGTATCTTTAGAGCTTTAAGTTGAGAACACTCCTGCAATCAAACTATACTGTGCTTCTCAGCTGTTTTAAGAAACTGTAGAAAGAAGTGCCTCACTGTCATTAGGACTGGATGACAAGATGGGCACTATCTTTCACCTGAAACCCCCAAATTGTTACAATCAGAGGACTGGAGAGGGAGATGAAAGCAAGGGAATCTTTTTTAGCCACTAATAATATTTTTGTTCCAATCTCAGTATGAATCTTGTAGTGCAGAATCCATCTCTACTAGTATTTTTGGAAATTGTACTATCACTTTTGCTGAGTCAACATCATGTTTCTGTGTCCATACAACTGATTATACAAGAGGATCTATTTCTGACTTTCTGAGGGGAAGGTGGGAGAGAAATGCGTTGTGACTGATCTTTAAGAAAAACATTCTGCTTATGACAAGGTAAACTTTCTGGGACTCTTGCATATAGCACTGATCACACAGTGTTATTAAAGATGAGAACATCTTTTCTGATGTATTTCATGAATAAAGTTAGCTTCTTCAGCTTTTTATTCTAATAAATAAGGTCTCTGATGCAACTTTGTCTTATTGGAACACTTTCTTAGTACTTCTTTATTAATTGATTCTATACCCTTATAATGGGAAATTTTTTTACTGTTGGTTGGAGAATAAATCCTAGTCACCCTTAAGTTGATTGAGCTTCACTGGCAATTTCAAAAGAGCCTGAATTTAATCCCTGGATCTTAAACCCACAGCTCGCCAGTGCTGAGGAACAAGTGGTGTTAGTGGGAAGCAGCCTTGTAACCAAGAATTCTTCTTATGTTTTTAGGGTTTCATTGGACCTCCAGGTGTGGCAGGACAACCAGGACCTGAAGGAGAAAGGGTGGGTTTAATGGAACATTAATGAAATATTAATGTTGGGGTGGTAATGCAATATATGTTAGAATGGAGAAAAAACTTACAAGGTCTAACCATTCAAGTCTTTGCCTAAAAGCAAAACTGATGTGGAGGAAATTCAATAGATAGGTCATATCTAATTAGTCTAGACAATGAAATGCACTGGTGCTAGAGTTAAATAGGGAGCAGCTGTAAATTATTGTTTTAATTTAATCTAGAGCTGCAAGGATTAAGGGTACTTTTTTCATACCACCAAGGACCATATGAGTATTTTTCATTGAGGCAGTTTTGTTCAGTCAATAATTAATATGTGTCAGTTGTCAGATGATGTTTGCAATAAAACTAGTCATGGAAATATTGATCTCTGTCACTCTGTGCTTGAGCTGTTTCTTGCTTCTCTTGAGCACAAAGGATGTCTGGCCATGCACTCTGATGGAAGCAAGATATGGCCCTTCCTCACACCTGTTCTGATGTGGCCACAGTAAAAACAAGCAAAGTTTGGGTTTCTGCTGCTGTTATATAGGACATTGTCTCTATGATTCTTTGCTCAAATCTTTTTGTTTGTTTGTTTTTTTAATGGTGCTGCTTCTCACGCTGTCTTTTCCAAGCAAATGAAGGTTTAGTTACTTGAATTTAAGCTATTGAAGAAAAGAAAACCTACTTATGATGGGTTATTTATTTCTCAGGGCATCCCAGGCTTCCGTGGAAAAAGAGGTCCTAAAGGGAGACAGGTAAAGCTTCTAACACTTGTTACAATTTCTGCTGCCAATGTAAATACACCTGTAATTCACTCTGTAATTTTAATCGGCTGAAAAATGTTAGTTTTATTTTTTCCATAGGTGACTTTCTATTGTTTCCAGTTAGCACTTTGCAGTACTGCAAATTCTGTGCAGGTTATAACTACTAGATGTTCTGAAGTGAGAAAAACTTAACATAATGAACCTTGTAACTGGTTACTGATATAAGCTCCCTGAGGGTTAAAAGATGACAGAAACACAAAAATATATTCTGTAAAATTAGTGTTAGCACAAGGTATAGATATGATGCAAGTTTCATAAGTCTGATTTTGGTGTTGGTTTGAATGCAAATCAGCTGTTTCTAATGTCTGATGTTTCTGGAGTGTGGTAAATTAAAGCTGTCATCTACTTAATATATATTTCTACAGCTGAGAATAAACACAAATCTGCCAAGTGTACATTATCAAGGTTTACATATTTTCTGTGGTGTATCTTAAATGCCAAGTGTTTTGTTTTCTGCTGCAACCTAATTATTTTAGGTCTTTGAAGCTGTCCTGGAGTTTCCAATTTTAACTTGCTTGTGGTTTGAGATTGGAAACTGCAATAGCATTCTCCAGTTGTGCACTCAGTTGAGCTCAGCAGTTCGGATGACTTTCATCTAGCATGTTGAACAAGCTTGTTCAGCAGTAGTAGTGTGATTACCATCGTTTGGCCCTTGATGTATGCTATGAAAGTTGTGGAGGATTCTGTTTAATGATATTTTGGTTTCTGTGTGATCTAACACCTGCCAAAAAAGGCACTAGCCTTCAATAGAGTTCCTTTTGATGTAAAGAAAGGCAAGCAGAGTATAGTTCCATGAAGTTGATAGACTGCTCTTTCTGAAGCTGCTATCAAATTGTTAAGGTATAAAATCAAAGTAAGAATCTGTTTTTTAGTTATTCAGCTAGAAGGATAGGGTGCTCCTGTGCTTGTTGACCATGATGTAGTTTGCTTATAATTTGAATCAAATGCTACTTTGTGCATCTGAGTGTTGGGCAAGAAGGAGTCTGTGCCATCAGTACCTTGCAATAGTTGACGACGTGTTGTGCTGATGAGCCATGTGTGGTGTTTAAGAAGAGAAATAACCTGGACAGAAAGCAAAGGCTTGTGCTCAGTGTGGAAATGGAAGAGAAGGTGACAGCAAGGTACTCTGAAAATGTGTTTTGCATTATAATCTCGTTCTCAGTGCCAGGTTTCACTGAGACTCCTGATTGCTGGTGTAGTAGTTTGTTTCAGTCAGTAAAAGTTGGTGCTGTGCATGCGGTGGTAAGCAATTATTTTTCATTTATAATAAGACCACAACTTCTATCAATGCCAGGCTATGCTCTGATAAGGACTTTTATTTCGTAAATCAATTCACAGAGGTTTCACATAGGTGACAGGGCACCAAAAGCACCTCTGCACAGTGTCCATGGTTACCTTCATTCAGTACCGATTCCTCTGTAGTGTCATTTCCTCAATCTCAAGGTTCATTCCAGATCATTTCTATGATCTGTAAAGTGCTAGTTTGACTAAAGACTACTAATACAGGGACCAAACCAGGAGAGCAATCACATGGGAACCTGGCTTGAAGTACTTTGCTGGATCACAGGCTTAGACAATGTGTATTATTTTAACCCCAGACAATGATAGCTGTGATGACGACGTCTTTCAACACACTGCCCTGAAGTTAACAATGCTGGTGCTTTGGGGCAGAGCATTGTCAATAAAGGAAATTTGGCATGGAAATTTCATAGTGCCTGAAGTCAGGCTCCTCAGCTTGAGTTCTAGAATGCAACTTACTTTGGACAAAAACTCTGTCAATAATAATACTAGGGGAAAAAACCTGCCTGACTGGCAGAGATCCTTCTGAAAGAAAACAGATCCCAAATATGACCTCCTTTTTGGAAACTAATGTTAAAGTATAAGTGGATCATACAAGGAACTGTACACTTATGATTCAAAATGCTACTACTGAGAAGGTTTATTGAATAGTTATTCATATTTGTAACATCTCTGGCATACTTGGAATGGAATAAAATATTCAATTACCAATATCTTTATTGTGAAGATTATATAGTGAGGATTTGTTTGTATTTTAGATTAGTTTTGCATACAATATGCTTTAAAGAAAATATTTCCCAGTAAAAGCATATATATTCAGTTTTGTTCCATTGTATACTTGTAATAAGAAATGTGGTGAGTTCTGCAGTATTTTTAATGCATTGTCTGTCCTGTTAGTATGATGCATAGTTTTTTTACATACATAGTTTGACCACATTTGAGGGAAAGTTTTTACATAGTATTCTCCTCTATGGCATTAGTTACAACCAGTGGTTAATGTGACAGAACAGACCTTGTAAATTATACCAAGAATTTATTAATCAAGTCTGTTGTAACTGTAACAGCAGTTCAGGTTCAGTTTTATATTAAAATTATGAATAGTCGTCCTTTTTGTGCTTTATAGTAACGTTAAATGATAATATTGATGTAATAAAACACTTGTTGCATGGTAGTATTATTGTAGTACTTCCAATTTTAGACTTTTCTGACTGTTGTCCTATGTTGCATTTTCCATTAATTTTTCTACTTACTTAAGATAGTTTTATTAGCATCAGTTAGAAGACACATGCTGTTGAGAACAGGATTAAGATGACTATGGGTAATCTGTCCCTTTTGTAACCCATGCTGTGCTGGGTTCCTAAACCATCATCTGTGACCTGCATCTATGATCTGGTGGCTGGTAAAACTGTCATATTGCATCCTCCATTTCACTTTAGATGCCTCATTTGTGTGTTTAAAAACAAAATTTGTATTCATGTGTGTTATGGCAAGTTCGCCTCTTCCAACCTCTACCAATAGTAGGCAGTGCAACCAAAATATTGTGCTATTAAGGAAAGGGTAGTAAATTAATCTTAGTCTGCAGACTATCAGCTGGTAGCTTTTACCGACATAGACACTGTCCATACCCCTCTTGCATGTGTGAAGTTTTACAGTACATACTCAGAGTTGTGCAAAAATTTGGCCTGTGGTGTACAGATTGAGACTCAATGAAATCTGCTATATTGACCATTAGCCTATGAACCTCTACTGTTTAAATGATAAGACAGTAGTGATATAAGACAGACCTGTACTGTCAGATCTTACCATTATGGCTATAGATTCTTATTTGTGAGTTCCGTGATCAGATCCTGAATAAAAATTTCATTGTTGTGAGAGGCATTCGTATCTTTTGCTTTACTGAATTTGCATGAGAATGCAGAAAAAAAGGCCAGCCAAAATCAACCCAAAAGATGATACAGGGAATGTTAAGCATGTCTCAGATTAATTCACAGTATCATGCATGGTGATAGGAAGGAAGAGCCTATTCTTTCAACATATTGTTTTAGCAGTGTGTATGCATATATGTACACACATAAAAAGTTGCCTTAATTTTTGTAGAATTCTGGTTTAAGTTATTAATAAAGCCAAATATGGCTTAAGCAGTGCTTAAACTGCTTTGGCTTACGATACAATTTTTCGACCTTCTTCCTGGAGTTTTATATTTTCTTCCTGACTGCTGTTCATATAATATTGCATGATGATGCATATGTCCCTTCCACTAAGGAAAGACAATGCTATACAAAGTCCTGAGCTGGACAGCTGTGTGGATGTCCTCCAAACAAGGTAGATTAAAAAGGCCAAATTAATTGTACCTTTCACTGGCAGCGGGTTTGAACAGTCTTACAGATGAGAAAGGTTAATGGCTCAAAGAACTGCTCCTGATACACAGGGAGGGATAAAAAGACATTCAAACATTGAAAAGACAAGGAAGAGTATTTCACGTAAAAATTATTGTAAGGATGGGATTTATTCCTTTTCCCTGTGGCGATGGACTAGTAATGCTCTGGTGCTTGGTGGCTCATCTCTTGAGGTCCACGCATCTCTCAGTTATCTCAGTATTCTGATACTGTGCAAGATTTTTCAGTTCCAGGAAAAGTCTGTTCCCTGTGAGTGCCTTAGCTTGGATTTTTCCAGGCAGAATCGCTTTCCAGCTTGGTATTTTGCAAATTTTGTGATAGGCTCTTCTGTGGACCTTAGAATGTAGTTAAAAAGGATGTTGACTTCTCTGTATATCTGTGCTCCATCCCTTTTCCTAACTTTATACAATGATAGGAATCATGAAAATATTGCCTGGTGCTTCTTCAGACTAGCAGTGTGAGTTTGCTGTTAGCTTCATGTGGTTCTTCCAGACAAATAGTGAGATTTGCCCAGCAATAGCACACTGATAAAAATTAATTTAAAAAAAAAAAAAAAAGGCACAAAAAAAACCAAACCACTTTTCTCCAGCAGCTAATGTGCTTCTGCAATGGGCAACATCAGAAAGAAGTAAAACAATCTGCAAAACCCTGAAAGGAAGCAAGAAATGTTAGAGTAAGTGAAGTGGTGGATTTCCATTTCATTTTGCTTTTCAAGCAACAAATGGAAATTCTGTTTCAAGCTTTGATGCTTGACTTGGCCAGTCAGATTTCTTCCCTGTGCTGATAATCTAGTCTCTGAAATCTAAACTCTGACAAAATGAAGGAAGCTTTTCCATGTCCTGTTTGAGTTATTGTTTCAGTCTCTAGATGCAGACTAAGGCAAATGTTCACATTGGTAAGGACAGTGTTGTGCCAGAAAGATGAAAAAATTTATTTCTAGTGAACGTGTGTGACACTGACATGTGCAACCATTAATATTTGTGTAAGAGTAAGGAGAGAATAAAAGACAGATGTTTTAGTGAATGCTTTAGGAAACAGAAGAAAAATATTTGAAGTAAAAATAGGAAAAGAGACTCCATGCAAACACTTCAAGTAATACTTGCTTAATATTGCTCTTAAAGCGTTCAGTCATCTGTTTTTGCCCCACGCTTAAATTGTCCATAGTTATATCTTTTGTGCTTATGATTTTAGGAGATGAACAAATATCACTGTTCTATTCTATTAATTTGAACTGTTCAGCTGAAACTTTCTGCTTTTCCCATTGATCCATCTCACTTCCTGAATCCACTTGCTGATGTCCGAATTTCTAATACCTATAGGAATTTAGTGTTCAAACCATCCTTTGTTTTTGTTAAATAAAAAACAAGCATTCTCTCTTCAACTTCAGGGTTTTCCAGGTGACTTTGGAAATAGAGGTCCCCCTGGTCCAGATGGGAATCCTGTAAGTATCCAGTTGTGAGTTGATTAGCATGGTCAAATTTGTAACACTCAGTAGTAACTCCTCTCCCAAATGGAACGGAGACTTTTGCCTCAAAAGCAATGTCTTGAAGTCTCCAGGAAAATTTTGGACTGTTACTTTTCCATGGAAATTGCTAGATAATACTGTAATAAGCAGTGGTATGAAAAAAGAGAGAGGAATAAGAAAGCTGCTGAGAGAACACAGATTCTGCTGCTGCATGTGCTGACTACCTTGAGAATCAGATGTCTTGCTGTCCTTATTGCATTACTGATGAATGTTTCGTCTTCAAAAATTCTGGCATTAGATATGACTTTGCGTTGTTTATTTAAACCACTATTCTAAGATCACCTTAAGAAAATGGGTTTCTGCATGCATGCCAAAACCCTAGCTTTCATATGCTTATGCATTTGATAGCTGATTTCATCATTTGAACTGGTACTGAATACAATTATACTAGTATGTCGTTTAGTGCATTATAATCAGTATGATAACAGCTTTGTCCTTGGCAGTGTGTGCAGGCAAAAGTGCTCTCATGGTATGGTATTCCAACTGTCCCAGCCAGTCCCTTCACTGGCTGCCCTCAAAAGAGCTTTGCTGTCATACTGTAGTTGTATTCTGTCTCTGGCTGCAGACTCTGAACTCAGGTTACCTTTGATATGAGAAACCAGTGAAAGGGCTTTGGGCCAGACAAGTGAACAGCAGTATGTGCTGGGCAAAAGAGCAGCTGATTTGAATCTGCTTTTATCATTGGATGCTCCTTTGGAAACTGCTGCCAGTTTGTGTCTAAAGGTTGTTCTAATGTGGACCAGAGTCTGCAACTGGGTCTCCTTTTTGAAGGCCTATCCTTTCCTGACACCTATCTTAGAAATTAATTTTAGAACAGCTTACATTAATTTTGCTGGTGGGTTATCGATGTTAGATGTCAACGTTTTAGAACACAGGAAAAAAATTATTTTGCATTTCTGGTCCCTGGGGCAAAGTTCCCCTTGTGGAAATGTCAGGTGAAGTCAGCATGGTGCTTTTCAGCTTTAAAGCCCTCTGAGGGGTAGTGAATGTCACCAGCTGCTTTGAAAATGGTATAAAAAGGTGAGTTCTTCCTTCCCTTCCTGGTACGCCCAAGTATCCCTCTCCTGATGAAGCAGATATGATCTCTCCATAAGATTAGCAGAACAACAGTACTTTAATAGAAACAAGCTCAGAAAGCCTGGATCTGAAATTACAGACTTGCACTTTACAAAGAAGCCTATTTTAACACAAGCATTTGCAGACGTGTTCCTTCTAACCTGCCAAGACAGCTGCTGATCTTGCTGCCTGCTCAGCTAGGCAGCAACCCCTCTCTCCTCCTCCCCAGAAAATGCCCTGCAGGGCTTGTTCAGGCAAGGGGCCAGAGCTGCAGCTGGAGGGGGCTGCAGTGCTAACGGGATATTTACAGAGCCTGTTTGTGGGCTGGCAGTGGAGAGCAGGGGCTGCCCCGGAGGCCCGTGGTGGCAGGAACTTGCACGGAAGACATTTCTTCCCATATGCTGACTTGACACTGATGACATTTGTCTCCATGCCCAATTTCTTCTGCTTAACAGAGTAATGCACTTCCACAGCACCCTCTCAATTCTCTGAGAATGTCAATCTGTCTTGGAGGATGTTGCTAGAGCATTCAGCTTCCCCTGTGGTTAGTTTGGAGAAGGTTGGAGAAGGTGCGTAGGCACCAGAGGAGGTAGGAGAGCACAAAGGTGTCCTCTGTGCCATGCCCAGCAGCCATGCCCTTTTGGACAGCTTCAGAATGGGCTCGTATTTACTTGCATAAAAAATTCCCTTCACTGTGGGTGCTGACGGGCTGCAGTGAGCTGTATGTATGATTTCCTTCAAGTAGCAGGTCTCAGGTGTTGGGACAGCCCACATGAAACATGCTGACCTGGAGGGCTACAATACCCCTTCACACAGGGTGACAAAGAGACTTGACATCTGTTTTCTGTGGTGTTCAGAATTTTAGCCTCTACTGAGTTAAACTTGACTTCGACAGAGGCAGGAGTAGAGTACCATTGAATTTGTTACTTCTACATAAAATACAAATACTGTAGGTTGTATCAAGAGATACCTTTTCATAAAGAGAGTGTAGACTTCTGTGAAATGAGCCAGTCTATTTATCTTTCAAAGGAAGCTTAATAAATTCTTGTGGTGGTTTTTTTCCACCTGAAAAGATTTATTTTTTCTTCTTTCAACTTTAAATATCATGGTAACAAATCTCATATTCCTTTGTCATGCAGGAACAGTTCTGTGATGTAAATATCATTAGATCTGATTCCACAATCAGAAATTTCAATAATCATGTTCCCCTATATAGTGATAAGCTGGCATTCTTCAGGAACTCTATATAAAAGTCCCAGTTGACTTGCTTTGCAGATCACTTTTGTTTATCTTATCGCTGGGAATTTTTTAAAATGGTAAAATTCAGACAATCTAAACTTTGTTTTCTTTGAAGGGAATTGTTGGTGGTGTTGGTCCTCCTGGATTTCCAGGACTAAGAGTGAGTATGCTTTTATTACTTGCTTTGATATGGCTTCATTAGAATATTTGTCGTGTATGTTTGTGAAACAACAAAAACAAATATAAAAATTCAGATATTTAAACAGATTTTGTTTTAGTTAGCCATGATTTTAACTAAAATCACTCTACAAAACTGTTGTCAGATTGCTGGTGTGGAGTACGTCTATACTTTGTTTGGATTTCTATACTTATTTCTGATCTGGTGTATCTGGGGTTTTGTTCTCATTTGGACTGGGGTAGAGTTAAGTTTCCTCTCAGTAGCTCTGTGTTTTGGAAACGACCTCTAAGATCATCAAGTCCAACCATCAACCGAACACCACCATGACTACTAAACCATATCCTGAAATGCCACGTCTACATGTTTTTTGAACACCTCCAGGGATGGTGCCTCCGCCACTTCCCTGGGCAGCCTGTTCCAATGCTTGACAACCCTTTCAGTGAAGAATTTTCTCCAAATATCACCCTACACACAGTGATCCTTCTATCAAACCCTTCTATGAGGATTTCATAAACTTTTCCTTGGCAACCAACTGCTATGTCACAAAACGGATTATGACATCCGTTGGGAAGATGCTACAGGAGCAGATGCATTGTTCACGAACAAAAGTGCAATTTCACACTTCTGTAACTTCTTTCTTTCAAGGCTTTCATAGAACTTTCCAAACCTTGAGGTGCTGTTTCTGTTTTCTTAGCGGTTAATGGAAACAGAATTGAACTGTAATTAATTGAAAGTCTCACAGCAGCCTGGCAGAGAACATTCCTTTCATGAAAGTTTCAGTCAAGGGGAACGCTGAAGGGACCTGTAATAGAGGTTTTCCTAGGTCGTTTCTCAGGTGGGAGAGGTCTGCAAGCTGGCATCATGTACTCCAGCCTCAGCATAAATTGAAATTTCCACTTCTAGCCACATATCCCTGTGTTCTGAGGGTCAGGAGGCATCTGAAGCAGAGAGCCGTCCCTGGGGCCTTGTATAAGCCCCTGTCCTCCCCTCTCATTGTTTTGCTTCCTTGGCCCTGGCATTCTGACATGGTGAAGTACTTGGGTATCCATGGTCATAACCCCTTGTTGGTCCTCGATACAGCAAGTGTTTTCCTATGGTGGAGCAGACATGTTATAAATAATTCAAGACAAGATAGAGCAGTGGGTCAATGCAACTCAAGTGTTTTGGCTTTCCATTATGTGGACTGATGTCCTGGTTTTGGCTGGGTTGGTGTTAGTTTTCCTTCTGGTAGCTGCTGTGTTTTGAATTTAGCACGGGAAGAACGTTCATGTCACATTTTCAGTTTTCATTTGTTGCTATGAAATCAAGGACTTTTTTTCCAGTCTCCCATATTCAGCTAATGAGCAGGTGTGCGGGAGCTGGGAGGGAGCACAGCCAGGCAGAGAGCCCGACTGGCCAGTGGAAATGTTCCATATTATAGACACCATGCTCAGTTTATGAATGGGGGTTGGCTGGGGGGGCAGAAGTCTGCTTTTCTCGTTCCCATGAGTTCGAATCCTCTCTTGTCTGGGAATTCAAACTTGTTCAAGAGTTTCATGAAATTCACGATTTCCGGGTCCCACGACTGCTGCTGTGGGATTGGCTGTGAATCGGTCATCAGGTGCTGAGAAAAATTGTATGGTATATATTTTGTTTTGCATATTTGTTATTATAATTATTATCATTATTATTACTAGTACTAGTATTTACTTTCTTGTGTTATTAAACTGTCTTTATCTCAACCCACGAGTGTTACCTTTTGTCCATTTCTCCTTCTCATCTCACTGGGGGGGGAAGGAGAGGGGTGAGCCAGTGGCTGTCTAGTGCTTAGTTGCTAGCTGCAGGGTTAAACTACAAGAGATTTTTGTCTGAAATAACCAAGTTTGCTATTTTATTGCCCTAAAGCCAGAATTACTTTTGGAAAAAGTGCAATACTTTTGAACATTTTGACATCCGCAGCCAGTATTCATCGCTGTAGATGGCTACCAAGTTCTAAGCAGAATTAATTCCTAAGCAAAATTACTTTATCTTGTCAAGAGTATCATATTAAAATTTTTACAAATCTTTTTAGAATAAGGTTGTCATGCTCATTATCGAGCTGCAAGCTGTAGTTGTATAAATACAGTTGTGCCAGAGAAGTTCTCTGACATGAGTGAGTCCTACGGGAGGTGGGAAAGACTGATACTTTCATACCATGTAGTCTTACTCCCTTATTTCAAGTAGTTCATGTGTTTACTGATGGAGGACCTGGATTTGATGCTTGATGTTGGCTCAATCAGCTGTGTCCATAGTTCATAACGTGGGAGAAAATAGCATGTTTACACTTGAATTAAGAAAGCCATGATTGTCTCCAGTGGTGGGGTTTTTTTTGATATCTGGAGGTCTGAAACATTCTTTGTTTAGTAATAAACAGGGGTTTATAAATTTACACTGATTGTCATCTAACTTTTCTTTGAAGCATGACAGTTGAGTTCCATTATTATCATATTTTCAATGATATGTTCATAATAAAAAATACTCCTATAAGAAGTCCATTGCTACCTGATTGGAATTGTTATGGCATTGCTGTAGAAGACACACAAGCTTGGTCAAGGAGCTCCTGTGGCTTCCAAACTTCATCATGCAAACATGACTCACTGTGTTCTTGTCAGTTGACATATTGGAGTCAGTTGAACCACTCATGAGACTAGAGGTTGCAGTCTTGAGAATTAGCTTTGAATTTTAGTTTGCTTTTCTTTCTTATATGACCATCTTTTGGAATATTATCTCAAGGACTTCAATAACTGTACAAACGTATCTGAGGTTTTTAAAAAAGCCTACTATATACCACTTCTAAAAAGATAACTTTTACTGATTATTTTGACTAAATCTTAGTCAGCAGTTCAGCCCTTCCTAGAATTCATGAGCATAAATGTTTGCACGGTCAAGGCTCTGTTTGCCATGTTACTTACTTGCAGTCACTTACACAGGGAGATTGAGTATCAATAATTTTTTGTGAAATGCAGAAATTATTTTCAATGACTAGTCCAAAGCCTTTGCCACTTGTACACAGCTGAAATATAACCATAATGAGAGCTATTGCTTGGGGGGGGAATTGATGGCATATTTGGATTTTGACCTGCACGAAATCAGTAGTTATTTTGCCTGTGAACTCCATTTGAGTGGCCTGCCATCTCTTGTTTACATGTAGGACTCTTTTGCACAGTTCCAGATGTGTAAAAGAGCATTGATTTTGTGCCCAAGTGCTCTACATAATTTGTATTCAAAGTGAAAACAAGAAAGCAAAGCACAGGAGCTGACATTTCTTTCTTCACTATGCACATTTGCTAAGCTAATTCTTCCTGTGTTTAGTTTTCAGTTTTGCTATGTGACAATTTGGAACAGGATTTTTACAGGGAGTGCGCTGATATTCACATCTTTTGTTGGGATTGGAGTTTGACCACCAGAACTGTTGAAAAATTTACATCATCTGCTGCAGCTCCATTTAACTTCAAAGAATCAAAGATCTTTTATGGAGCAGAGAGCTCCTTTGATCCCCGCACTTTTTTGTCGCTGAGGTGTATGTATATGTGCTGAAAAGGAATGACATTTTTGGAAGCAGAAATAATTTTGCAAATGAGCTTCTCATCTTAATAGAGTTTAGTGCTTTGGATAACAAATGTGTGAATAAAAATAGGTGTGGACAAGTGCTTATGAGGTAAAAATGCAGCTCCGTAAACCTAGTGTGATTGTGCATCCTTCCAACAGCTTAATAGATCTTACGGATGTTTTAGGATGTTTTTAAAGATGTCTTCTTTCATTTAGCCAAGATAAATTAAAAATGCAGCTTAGGGACAGTTAACTCTCATGTTTGATAAGACCTTACTGGTACAGGAAGATTTTGCAGTTGAGGAAAATGGCCCAGCAACGTTTCCTTCAGATTTCTGAACAGTCTTTGTAAGCTTCCAAAGCATCAGCAAATCTCTTTGGGCTTTTGAAATGAGGTCAGAATGTGGCTAAAGAGGACTTCGGTATCTAGTGACGTAAGTCTTTTGTAGATACTAACACAGTGAATAGGCATGATCACTCCTCTGTGTTTCTGCGTTACTTCTATTAGTTACTTTGGTTCCCACTTTCCCAGTCAGTAAGATAGTGGGAAGAGCTGTAGTTTGTTCCAGAGTTTCTTTACAAGGGATTGTGCTCTTTAAACTGTAGCAGAATTTCACCAAGAGCCCAGGGGAATTTCAGGTGACCCCAGCATCCCTGAGTACAGCTTATGTGGTGGATTCCTGTTCCTTGACCACACCTGCTCTCCAAATGGGTTTGTGCATCCTGGCCTCTGTTTTCACATGATCCTTACCCAGGCAGATGCTAGTGATCATCCAAAACTGAGTAAAGAACTACAGACCTCAAGGTTTGTTCTAAAATACTTACTGAATTATAACACATTATACTATTACAAGATGCAATATTGAACGTGAGATTAAATATGTTATTCTGCAAGAAGCCAACAGCATTAACTCAAATAGCTTGTCCAGCCCAGCTTTATGCAGTGTCAAGAGCTAATTATATTTCTGTGTTTGTTCATGAGAACAATGGCAAAGTGAGCAGCATCAGCAAGCTGAGTCCAAGAATTTGTTCCTTCCATGATTTTTTCAATATACAAAGCTGTTGCCAAGTGCAGATTTTTGGCTGGCTGAGCAGTCAGTCTCTCAAGATTTGCTAGGCCATGAGTTTTGATAAGATGAAGAATTTCAGAAAATTTGCGGCTATAGTTATCAGAGCTAGCTTTTCTTTTTACGTTTTTTTTTCTTTAAAAAAGCCAAACTAATACCAGGAAGCATTAGTTTTCCTTTTTGGGTATCTTATCTTTTTGACAGGTAAAAGCAAATTGTTTTTAGTTTCACTTGTCACACAGAAATGGTTGAAAAGGTCCACTTTATGTAGCTGAAGTAATTTTTGTTTTCTATCTATAGGCAAGTTTTAACCAAACTGATAAGCATGTGCTAACATATAGTGAGGCTGTGGTAGACAGGTGATGATTTAAAGAAACTGACAGACTTACTAATTCAACCCTTTTCTTAGAAATGAGATAATTTTTTAGTTTTATTTTTGTGTCGTTCCAGTTCTTTGCTGTTAATTAAGTCAGCCAGTATCTCTGGAGACTGTGGCAGGAGTTTCATCAACCTGCAGTTTGTAAAGCTGTTTTGGAACTTCCCATTGCTTTTGTAAGCTAAATTTCGCAGCTCAGTATCCCTCTGTGATTTTTTCCTTCAATCCTTTTGTTATCAGAAGTATGCATTTCGATGTACAGTATCATTAATATAGAAATGCCTTGCTGAACTAGAACATATAGCACAAGAGACAGCAATGTAAACAATTTATCTTGGCATCAGCTAACATGACAGGATATATCATTTAAGCAGTCATGGAAAGCTAAAGCAGTATAGAGTGGCAATTTTCCTGGGAGCTTTACCAAGCACCATTGAGATGCTAAGTCGTCAGTCTTCCTTTTACTTCAGTGAGCCATGAGTCTGACGATGGCTGCCGAAGAATGTGTTTGCTGACATTGCTGAAAGAGTCTCCAGAGAATAATGAATGTGTGCTGAACTGGAAGTCAGTAGGGGTCCATCTCGTCTTTTCTATGTCACTCTCAGCAAGTGGCATAAGATTTCTGTATTCATATTTGTTGCTATATTCTTGCATAGACACAGAGGTATAACAGTGCTTTTTTTTTTTTTCCCCCAGAGGTAGAATAGGCAGTAAGTAGATAGACTTTTCCCTCTGTAATATAGTTTTAGCTATGGCTAAATAATTTCCATGTTTAGCTCACCATCTTTCATTAGTATCATTGCTGTTGCTGTGTTGATCTTTTAAGATTTTCATTTTTTTTTCATTTCTGGTTCACTTTTTCGTTTCAAGTCATAAAACTGTCTGTATAAATCCCAGAAAGGAGAGATGTAGTAAGGCTTTGAAGGTACATGAGAACAGAAAAAGTTAGCATGCCCATCAGAACTTCAGGTAAGTTTTCACACAGTATTTTGGAAGAATGCCATGTCTTTTTTTTAAATTGTAGAAGTCACTGAGAGATGAGAAATCCTAGAAAAAGTCATTTTTTATGACACTTACTCACAGCAGAATAATTCCTATAAGCCAAATCCAATGCCTACAGAGTAGTGATGTCATGTAACCTTAAGAACAGATGGAATAGCCACCGATGGTGCAACTGCAGTACAAGGAAAGCTTCTTTATTCTGCGTTGCCTGATGCACTGCTACCTTCTCATGTACACATAATCTGCAGGAAAAGAGCGAAGTTTGGTTTCCTGTATTTCTGCTGATGTGGTTGGGAAGTGTAAAGGTGGAGGACTTGTAATATGGATACTTCTTTCCCCAAGAAATTAGCCTGAAAAAGATTTTGGTTTCTCTCTGTGGTGCAGAAAATGCCACATTCTGTTACCAGTCTTTAAGTTATTCCATTTCATCAAATGTTTTAAGCAGACACCTTTCTTGCTGTTTTGTAGGGAGGCATTGGGCCAGCAGGACCAAGTGGACCATCAGGAATTCCAGGGCCCATGGTATGGTGCTAAACAATCCCACAGCCCAGTGCCTATGCTGCTTTCCAAATTATAGACAAACATTGGATTTTTGTTTTCTTCGTTTTAATAGGGCCTCCCAGGGAGTGTGGGGCAGCCTGGAATGAAAGGTGATAAGGTGATTTAAATATTTCCATTATCTTAGAGATATATAGTTCTTTCAGATTCCTTTCATTAAATCTTGAGCAAAACAATGTACTTGACAATGCCTTACCTTTTTCCTTTTGATTTCTTTTCTCTTACTTTTAGTTTTTAAAATTACTTCAGTCTCATGACTTTAGACAAAACCCTCTGGTACTTTAGACAAACTTATTTCTGGACAGAGCACTAACTACTAGGCATAACAATATCCAGTGCTGTGTCTATAAGGTTTCCTGGAGGGGGTGCTTCAGAGCAAGATCTTGCAACGTCATTCAAAGATCTGTATTAGTTTTAAATACTAAATATTGAATCAATCTTTCTCATTCTCTAATGCTGATAACTACCCCATTTTAAGCCACATACATTTGTCTGTATAAAATAATATGTTGTTTAGGGTGAACATGGCCTTGCAGGAGAGCCAGGAGACCAGGGGTACCCAGGAGACAAGGTAATTTATTGTTGCATTGTTTTACAAAATTGTCCAATTTCAGCAAATTCGTCAGGCTTTGGAGTCTCTTAAAATGCAGCAAGTCAGTTGCATAAAAGTAGAATGCAGTAATAAAAGTTACTGGATACCACCAAATTAACATATTTTTAAGAAATAGTGTGGTAATTAAAACAGTTGTGGAAAGTAGTCAACAGAGACAAGTAAAGGACATGGGCAGAACTCTGGCTGCTGTGTGTTCAGAGATGCATCAGACAAGAAGAAAATTATGGTATGATTTGAAACCTGCTAAGACACTGTTACAGAAGATGTTTTTCCCTTGGACCTTGAGGTTCATCTGCAGCTCACCTGGACCAACAGTGGTTAGCAGCAGCACATGGTCTGGCATGCTCCTTCATGTCGTGAAACTGAGATAAATAAGTATATTCTTTCCTATTTGGCTAGTACATCAGAAGTCACTGAAATAGCACATCCTGTGAGAACTCTTCTGATGAATGTTGTATGTCAGAAGACATTTCTCATCCTGCAGAATTATTTTGAAGCCTGTTTCACATGGCAAAGTGTAGCAATCTGTTTCTTTGAGCATGACCCAACAATATGTTTTCATGTGTATTTAATGGCTTTCTTTTTTCAGGGAGCTCTTGGTTTACCAGGCCCCCCAGGGATCAGAGGAAAGCCAGGACCCCCAGTAAGTTTACACATCAATTTTTGCTCTCAATGCATCACTGTTTGTTGTTATATTTAATACTTCTTTTTGTCTTATGTTCATGGAATCCTCTAGAAGCTACCTAATTCAAAATGCACAAAGAATAAGGTCTAACCTGCTTTTATTTCTAGTGACTGGTTAGTGAGCGAGTCAGATCCTAACATGTGTGATTTTATTACATAAATCAGTATATGTGTCACATTTTATTATGGGAGTGCTTAGGATATTAGGTATTCTGTGACAGTCAGTTTGTGTGGGAATAGACATGTTGGTAATGTTTGAAACAAATCCACTGAGAGCGTTGTGAGCTGCCAGGATGACCGTTTGGGCTAGCTGGATTTGGAGAGAGTGTGGGAAATCTCATTAATAATGGCCAGCCGTTTCTCACAGGGATGGGAATAGTCACGAATTCCAGTATTTACTGATTTTTAGCAACTTCAAAGGCATCTATGCAGTGCTGCCGCTACTGCTGGGTTTTTTAAATGTTGAGGCAGAAAAGATATTGCACAGGGTTACCTGGCTTTTTCCTCACCTGTTTTTAGCACTACAATCTGCTTCTTTTTGGGGTACAATTAAAAGATGCCAATACTTAACACTGTTAAAGAATTAATCACTCCAGTCTAATTTTTCCGAGGTAAAAAAAAGCCACTATCTGATAAACCTACTTAAACCTCATGAATGTCATAGGCCCTTATACTCAATAAAAAATACTTTCTTTGTCCCAGAGAATTTATAATATAAAAACTAATTCTGAAAAAAAACTACACAAATTTGCTTAAGTTTAGATGGGAAAACTCAGCTTTTTTACTTTTAAAGATATAAGTATTTTCATTAAAAATAAGCGTGTGAATTAGCCTATTCCTGAACAGTTGTAGATTTTAAGCACAAGCTGAATGTGAATAACTTCTTGACTTACGTTAAATTAAGATATGAGACCTCAGTCCTGTAAGTAATATAATGTTTAACTTTCTAGAACACATTTACAATAAAATCATTTACATTAAAAACTAAAACAAGGTCAGGCTTTAATTTTGCTCAAGGAACACCTGGATGTGGCAGCAGCAAACTTTTAAAAATGTGGAATAACAGATATAATTTAGAGAAATATTTTGGTCAGTTTTTAGTTGTGTATTTGTGTATAATGGAGTCACTATAACATGTGGATAGGACCTAATTTTAGTATTATTAATCACAAAACTGCCATCTCTGGCCATGATTGGATACTTAAAACTATATAGGTAAGTATGTAAATGGATATCCATAACAGTTATTTCCTGGAGTTTTGGATAATACATAGTTTTTATGATGAAAACAGCTAGATGTTTCAATTTTTTTTTAATATGACTTTTTGGACCATCCCAAAACTCCCAATTTTATTTGTCTAAAGCTAATTTGCATTTTTTGTTGTGGCTTCAAAGAGATGATCTTTAAGGTCCCTTCGAACCCTTACCATTCTATGATTCTATGTTAAGAAGAGCTATTCTTAATTGAATCCAGAAAAGGCAGTTATAAAACTTCCTGTTTAGTGAAAATGTCATCTCAGCAGTTTGTGGGCTTTCTTTTTAATAAATGTTTTACAAATTTTTATAACAAACTGTAATTAAAAAAAAAAAAAATTATCATCAAAGATCTAATGCTTTGGATTTTTTTTTAAGGGGAAAACTGGAGATCCTGGATCCCATGGACCATTGGGTCCTCCAGGACCAGAGGTAAGAATTTTTTTGATAGAGGTAAATTGAATGTCAGTTAGTTCTAAATTACAAAAATCAGAGGTAAATGGGTTTGCTTCACAAAAGATTGTTGTCTGTCTTGAATTAGAAAATACTTTTTGTTTAGTCGTACCAGATGAATTCATTCTCTTCCATAAAGTATAAAAGATTCTAGCTCATAATTTTTAATGCAAAATATTAATATACAGGATCTTTGAACACCAAGTAGTTCCTCATTTGCCTATGTGATTAGGATTTGCTCTCTTTTGAACCCAGTTATTATAGATTACACCTTCAATGAAGCTCATGTGATTTCTCAGGCACACTTGCATTCATAAATTCTACAGCATGTTTATAAATGGGACTTTCCAAGCCTGCTTGCATATTTCTCTCTTACAAAATAACTGTTTGCAAGGAATGCAAAAAATAAACACCAGTTACATAGGAAGCATTGTCAAGCGCTTGAATCTAGCAGTGCAGTTGCCTAAGAACTGTATAGTACTATGGAAGACTACACAGAAGCTAAGTCAGTCTCTGAATTGTTCCATTTTGTGCTTTTTAGCATTGATACCGTGGTCTATAGGAAAAAATGCTGTGGACTGTGTAGGAAGGACATATACAGACACGTATATTTGCTGGAGAGATAAAAGCAGAAAATGCAGATTTTTCTTTTTAATCATGCATCCATTAGAGGAGGCTGCTTTTTTTTTATGTATGTCTGGAAAATATATATTAGCAATGATGGTTATTCTGGCCTTGCAAGATACAGTAACTCTGGGAGCATATCTCCTCAAACAAAGCCTCTGTATTCCTACCTTTTATAAGAGGGAGCCCAAGGCCTCTGATCCTCAAAGAACAAATTACTGTGTTTTATTATTTTGTTGTTATAGCTCCTCTAAATCCTAAAGAAAACACTTGCTTATTTGAGATGAGCCCTCATTGAGAGAAAACTCACTGGGAGATGTGTTGTAGCGACACAAGACGGTCTTTTCAGGATAAGCCAATATGTTTCAGTCCATGGGGACAGAGTATTTTCGTGTCCTTCGGTTAGAATGAAAAAGACACAAAGCCTGTGCGTGCTGCCCACAGCTGCCTCCCTCTGTGGCTCGGGGTTTTCGATTTTGTGAGCCTCTTCACTGTTAGCAAAACAGATCTTTGCATTATCTCTTCTCTTTGTTTAGCTGTCAGCAAGGGAGGCCTGTGACAGGTTAATATCAAGTTGTTTGTCTTGAAGCCTGCGTCCTGGTGACCCTGACACCTATCCCAGTAGTCCTTTATAGTTCCTTATTCCAGCCCGGGTACACTATTCCTTTGGGCCCGCGGAGAAATTCGTCATTTGGGCCTGGTACCCTCAGGGAAGATATGGATGGGAAAACATACTATCTGAAAAGCTCAGCATTTCCTTTTGCTCAGGGGTGTAGAATTACTTCAGCTGTTAGAAGGCAAATAAAGTGCTTTATGTTAGATAATTAAAGCTTGAATGTCCGCGTATTTTTCTTTGAATAATCATCTGAAAAATGTCAGGTTTAAAATCACAAAGCAACGCTTCTCTTAACTTTAGTCATGCAAGACAGATCCAAATAAAGTAAAAGAAGTTTTGCCTTCTTTTACTTCATAAAAACATGGTTACCATATGGCAAAATAGCAGAAATAGAAGGGAGGTAGGGCAGTAGTATACCAGGATCTTGAACAAATTGGAAATTCTAGAAGTTCTATCGTAAAAGGATTTTAAAAAAACAGTGTAAAATTGAAGATTGTATCTTATTCTCCCTGTTACTTTGTCTTATAAAAATAAGCCAGTTATTGTTGCCAGAAGCTATTTAGACACAACTGGATATATGAAGTATGAGCAATTAGTGCAGATTTTCCTACAAGAAAAGCCTACTGTCGTATATCTAATCATGTCTCTTCCGAAAACAGACAGCTAGCAGGTCAGACAGGGCTGATTTCCTTGTTCCTATTTCATTATCTGAATGGTCAGACTTCCCCTGAGCCCATGTAGAAAAAAGATGTTACATCCTATACTAGATGTTCCCCTTGATGTTTCTGGAAACAGGAGAATGTGAAGAAATGTGAAGAAATAGTGTCTTAGAAGGGCAGTACTTTGAATTTGGTATGGACATGACAATCCATACCATATGCCTTCTAGGAAAGATTTTACTTGAAAAAAAAAAAAAAAAAGGCTCAACTGGGATTTTTTGGGCTTTCTTTGTT